GCGGGCCTCGTCCCTGGCTTCTTTTTTCCCCCCCTCTTCACCACCTCCACCCACTCGGTGGTCGATGGTGCGGGGGCCTTCTCCTTTGGCACCTTCCTGCTCCTGATGATCTGCGCCGCCGTGTCCTTCGCCTTGGCTGTCACCATGTCCCTCACCACTTCCATCTTGGTGATGACCGGTACTCCCCTCGCGAGCCCCGTTTCTTGTCCCCGAGGGATTCGGGCTCGGGCTCCCTGGCATCTGGTAATGGTGTTCTCCAGTTTTTGCCTCACCTCCTGTGGGTTCCCCTTGGCTACGTCTTTCAGTGAGACCCCCTCCAGCACCCTCCGTACACCCTCCATGGCCTCTTCGGGTGTCGGCTCCTCTAGCTTCTTCTTCGCCCCTTTGATCTTTGGGCGGTATACCGGGGCTTCCTCCGCTTGGACCGGCACCGGTTTCTCCGGGTTCGCGGCCTTTCGCCTGGCTAGGGCCTTGGCCCGCGTCAGTCTCTCGGTCACCTCTGACCTTGCCGGGCTCTGGGCTCGGGCTTGGGAGGGGTCCTCTTCTGGCAGCTCCATCGCTGTCCTTTCAAGTGCCCTCGTGCTCTCCACCCTCGCCCTTGTTTCCCTCTCCTCCTGGAGAAGAGTCGCCATCCTCTCCAATTGCTCCTCGAGGCTTCTCACCCTCTCTCTCAGCCTCTCGTTCTCGTCGTTCGTCCGTCCACCGCTGGAGCCCGCCGTCTTCTTGGCAACCACGGTGGCCGCCGCCCGGAGATTTTTGGAGCAGGCCTTCAGCTCCTTTACGTACGTGCCCTTAAGATTTTTGGATCTTTCGGCCACTTTTACGACGATGTTGACATTTTGCAACATCTCTGCCGCAATCTGTGCACCGCTGAGACCCTCCAGCTGTGCCACCGTCTCCCTCTCCGGGGTCGTGTCCCGGGGGAGGGCCTTGGGGTTCAGGACCTCCGCCAACGCCCTCTGCTCGGCCTTTAACTTTTTAATTTCACGCCGGCACTCCTCCCTCTTCCTCTTCCCGATGCCAGCGTAGGTCGTGGCCGGCCTTCCTCTCCTCTTCCTCTTGCCAGTGGTAGCATCCACTGACGAGACCGAGGAAGATTCTTCGTCCGTGGATGGGTCTTCGTTATCCACGATCGATTATTGCCTCCGTATCGGATCCATCAGAATCCGGTAGGGGCGGGAAGTCCCTATTCACCTTCGAGCACGCTGGCCCGGGCTTCGTGCCGCGTGCTGTAGCCGATGTACCGGCTTCGTCTTGGCGGGGCGTCCTTTGGGACTTTTCCGTCCTGCCTCCTGTCCCTTGGATATTGCCCGTTGCCTTTCTCGTGTGCTTCTCTCCTCC